CTCTAGTTAAACATATCCAAATTTTGCGCGATTTGGTCTATTGAGAAAAAAGTTATGAACGAAAAAGCGTCGAAGCATTTCACCGAAGACTTTTGAGCGCTACTGTATATGTGCATGGTCTGGGATTGAATCCTGAATCGACACCCGCCTAGATCACCCAAGCCTTCAATCCTCCCGAGATCTGTTAAATATAATAGTATCAGACTTGTTTGGGAGGACAAAAGCTATGAATTGAACATCGTCCGACTACATCAAGTCACTGCATAGGCCACGCCCTTCATTCATACCGCCACTGCGATTCTGAAAGGAAATCCACTGCGGGGCGCATCCCAGGGATTCTGCAACGCTGAAGATTCATCTAGACTTTATGTAGAAAAAAAGCTATGAAAATTGCCGAGTGATGTCCTTTCGGTTACCAAGCCATTTTTATTCTTTGTTTTCTACTTATTTACTATTTTTTTCAGAAAAAAAACTAAATCTGTCTTCAAGAGGCACTCAGAGACACTCATCGGACCAAAAAAGAGGCTTCGTTTTTTTCAACATACAGGATTTCGGGAAAGGCGATATAGTTGTGACAAATGGCGAATCATGGGAAATAGAAGAAACGCTCTTTCCTGCTCACGTGATTCATTTCTACGAAAAAGTCCGCTATGGAGGGATGCATGGCTCAATCTTCATACGTTTGCAAGTGACATTTGTCGAAGTCTTTTGCTACCTTACTGCCAAGCATATTCAAAGCATAGACTAGGTGAAAACACGAAAATTAGACTAGTCATGAAAACTTCCTTGGATTGATGAGACTTCCGTTAAATGAGCTTTTGAGATGGCAATCCAAAATTGCAATTAATTTGTAGCGCTGCTACTGAAAGCAACCATGTCCGGTTGTTTTCCGTGAAAAATTCTGCCGACGTAGCACGTGTTCTATTCAGACGAGCTAAGAAAAAGTCGGATGTGACGCCTTCCTTCGTAAATATCTTCTGCATTACTCGCCTGCAGAATGAATCCAGAAAAATATTTGAGAAGTAGAGAGAAAGCGAGAGTTTCAGGACAACTTCCATAGGACGAAACTCTAAGCGCTGTGTCAAAATAAAAATTTCTATTTTCGGAAAAAAATCTCAAAAAGCGATCTCAGCCATATGACATGAAAGCAGTGTGAGGGACGAAGTTTACGAGCTGTCTATGGTCCCGAATCAAGATTAATGTTCTCGGGGGGATTGCTTCGAGTGGGTGGGCGTAGAAAAGGTGTTAATCTCGTGCACGCTCCCTCCAATCCTTTCGTTTTTCCATCGCTCACGAAAAAGTTATGCCAAAAATGTGGATTTATTGCTCCTTAGGGGTAGGACAGAGAGCCTCACTGCAAGGTTGATACTTCAAATGTATCGACGAAGTGTTTGCATTAACATGCATATATTTTCAGTGTTTATGAGGGAGAGGTGTAAACAGGAAGTAACGGCTAATTAAGTCAACTGAGAAGCTTCCAGGAAAGTAAGAGATGTTAATCTAAACAAATGTGATGCTACTCTGATGCCCACGGCTTTGCACTCATCATCCCTGCCTGACCTTTCGAAGGTCTTCTAGAAGGGATAGCGGGAGTGGAGCTGGCAAAAGGAGGCGTCAAAACGGAAAGACATACTCAGAGTGGCTTCTTTCAGACCTGTGGGCCAGGGTCAAAATCAGAAAAAAGGAAAAGAAAGAAAGAGAAAAGAAAAATGACAATAGAGTTTTCTGGTATTCCATTCCTAAATTGATTCCGCAAAAAATTGATGGGTGGCGGTTTCTGCGGGGGTCCATGGAGAGGATTAGGATTTAAGGAAGAAGGTGGAGTGGAGTGTAGAGATTATTAGCTCGCAAAATCTCTACTCTACCTCTATAAAGGCTTGATTGACGTTGCACACAGGTGTTTCCTGTTCGTGTCTTAAATGGGGAAGTATTCAAATCCGTGCAAGTCAACAAATTTATGTAACTCCCATCAACAACGACGTCAGTCAACCTTGGCATAATCGTTTACATACAAATCCCACGCCTTTTTAATGACACCTATTGAATGTCCCTCAATAATGAGCAGAAACAACGAAGTAGTGAAGGTAGAAATAGAATTAATTATAGGCGGAAAGGTCCATTATGCAGTTTCTTGGCAAAAATACTACTTACATGGGAAAAATCAAGAAGGACAAATTCCTACACAGGGCAGTATCAGCCGATGTCGCAAGCAGGTGCATGATCACTGATGAAAACTCGGACTTCCCAAGCCAGCCAGACATCTAATTGCCTCGTACTGAGTGAATTGGGTAATGGAATTGTCTTGGAGCATCGGAACACTGAATGGAACATTTAGGGCTCCGTAAGTAGGTTATCAAACTGTGACATCGTTTCAGGAATAGAGTTTTATGTGAGATGTACTTGGAAGGGTCAGTTAGGGAAGGGCAACTTCTTGCAGTGAATTAAGAAGCGATTGAGAATTGCTGTTAAGTAGTATGTAACATGGCCAAGTTATAAGAGAAAAGCAGGTTTGAATTTCATGAGAATCCTAAGCCAAACGGCGAATCCTCTTTGTCGGGACGGGCTGGGAATGGAATGGAAGAACAGCCATGGAAACGACTACAATAAGCGTATTCGGTAAACGAATGTCATTAGGAGGGGTTTCATAGGAAGAGTGGCGAAGGTGACGACAGAATACATCATGGACATGGGGATGCCAACGATATTCCACTTCGACAAATGCGGCTTAAAGGGAGGGATTGAGACCAAACATCCGAAGATTATGCTCGGAATAAGCTGATTTCGAGCTTTTCTGAAAGGCCATCGGCTGTTAAAATAAATGGGAAAAGAATCATGAGCCTGTCTATTACTTGAGACCACCCATGGGACATTGGATATCAGTGGACCCTCTACCAACGAATCCCTTCAATGGAGAATCAAAGTGGTCTCTCCTTTACCTACTACTTCTAATGGGAGCCTTAATTACAACTCGAGTACCATGTATGGCATGATTACTTTAGGATTGG